AGATTTTTTAAAATATAACCATTACTTTTAAGATAATTATCAAAAGTTAATTTTTGTGTTTAATTTATTAAATATAATAATCATAAAAATTATAAAATAAAAATTTTATTTTTAATTCTAAATTTACTAAAATTTTCTTCAATTTTTGTATGAACAGTAACAGAAGATTTAGACTGCTTATTTCTACTTATTATATAAAAAAAATTTTAAAAAAACTAATTACTAAAAAAAAAATATCATGAAAAAAACAACCAATATTTTATATTTTTTTTTATAACTTTATATAAAACTTAATAATATTTATTTTTTTTAATACTGATTCCATTTCAATAACAATATTTAACTTAATTTTTAAGCATTTTTTTGTTTATTCTTTTTAGTACTGATTTCATTTTAATAGCAATATCCAACTTTATTTATTTTATTATGATTTCTTTATATTAGTAGACATATAAAAATTAAACATAGGTATGTTAATCTAATGAATGATCAGATTGTCAACCTTTCAAATAGTAGGTTAGGTGTTTAAATTCTATCAATAATGAAAATTTGAATAATTATATATGTAATATTTATATTATATTAACTGTTACTAATAATTAAATTAGAATATCTGTAATAATAATTACACTAATATAACTAACAGATCATAGAACATTTGTATAACTTATTATATAAAGAAATGTAAACCAACAAATTAGATAATGTAAATACTAAATAAGTTCTTATAATTATATAAATCTATTAAAATTGAGTAATAAAAAATCCATTTAAGAAAACCTAAATAAAAAATTAATTAGATCTTTGATAATCCTACTGTAAAGACTAGTTCAGAAAAATAAATACCAAAATCATAATATTTAATTATAGTACCTAATCATAATAGTCTGATAGACAAGAATCTTAATATTAAAAGTCTCAAAATACTACCAACTAGGTTGTTAAAACAAACCAAAGAAAAAGAATATTAAACTGATCTAATATATTAATAAATTGATTATAATTTTACATAAACTATTTAAATTAAAAATTTAATAAAAAAACTAAACAAAAGGTAAAAATATATTAAAATACTAAGATTATAATATAAAGTAAATGCTAAGATCTGTATAAACTCTACAAAAACACAACAATTAAATGATATAACTCTACTCATAAGTGTTAATTCTACTATGATGATATTTAAATCAATTATAAAAATGAGTACAGAAGACTTTAAAGAGTTTATCTTAAAAATAAATTAATCCTAAGATTGAAATGATGATCTGAATATCTAGATATAACTCAGTAAGTTAACATAGATTACAGGTTCAAAAGATTTAAAATAAAACATCCAAACAGTGATGTTAAGTATAACAATTGATAAGGAACCTTTGGGTGAACTTCTTAAATAGGTAATATAAAAAAGTTATATATATAACCAATTGTACTCTCTTCTGTAATGGTTCATAAAATCACATTACCAATAAGTCATTAATAAAAGTCAAAAGACCAAAAAGATCATCTTAATAAAAAAATAAAATATAAATAAAAATCAAACATTATATTTAAAAAAAAAAATAAAAATAAGTGACAAAATTACAATGATATTGATATTGTGAAAAATTAAAAAAAGGTTTCCGCTAAAACTGATAGCAATAACATTTGAAAATTTATAAATAAAGATGGAACCTACATTTCAATTTCCAAATTTAGTTAGTCTGTAATTTTTTGCTTTCACGTTATACAATCTTGTGTTTGGATTAGTCAAAGGTCACGAGATTATGAAAAACTTGCGTTCCGTAAGAATTCCGTGATACCTGCAACACCGTTTTCACAACCTGATTCCGTGAATTCTGCGGGATTTACTTATTTGTGCCGGTAATACAATCCAAAAAAGGAAATTTGATTTTATAAATAAAGTGCATAAAACACGAATTTAGGGTTGGAACGTTAACATTAGAGGCTATAGCGATAAATTATCATTCATTATATGTAAAATTTCGTTTCCGACATTTTTAATTAGTACACCAAGGCTGGTTTAAACACTAGTTTTTGAGTTTTTTCGCTTTTTCTTCTTTTACACGTGTTCGGAATTCATGTCGGGCTGATCCGGAACGATCAAAATTTGAATTCACTGATTGGCTATTTTCTTTTTAGGAGTTTGTATTACCGGCACAAATAAGTAAAGCCGAATTCTGCGGCATTCCGTGAAACGCAGAAAATCATCGTCCCTGACCAGCTTTAGCCGATCGTCATATAAAATCCAAATTTGACGATAGTAATTTGTTTAACGTTAATCAAATTTAACTTAAGTTGCCAACTAATTGATTGAAAAAATTTTAGACCAACTCGGAACACTATTTCTGGAAACCATGTTTGGCGCTTTTAGGGCCACCGTTATCGCTTATGGAGGCTTGCTATGGTTCGATTCTTTTCACGATTTAAAGTACTGCATTCGAAAAAAATTTAGCCTTCATGTGCTTTATTAGGAAAATGCCTGCGAAGATGAACAAAACGCGTAAAGCAAATGTTCGTAAACGGTTAAAAGCTGTTGATAAAGTTATTACAGCTGTCGCTGAATCAGGCGTTAAATGCAAAGCTTTGGTAATTCATTAGTCAATACTGTAATCGTTTTATCTTTTTCCTTATCTGATTTCACATAATCACTATGAACAATTTACCAAGACACTTGCACTCCAATTACCAAAAGAATCAGAGATGAAACCAAGAGACAAATACACGGTTTTTAGTAAAAATCATAAAGGTTACAGAAAAGGATTGCATAAAGTACCCAAATTCACAAAAGTCACAATGAGAACTTCTCCTCCAGGTTTCACTGCTTAACTATAAATTAATGTATGCATATGCTTGAATGCTATCTTATGCCTGGTAGGCCCAACATTAAAATTTTAGTGCAGGTTACTTGGCAACTTTATATGACGGACATAATTAATTATGACTTACACTTAAAAAATATATATTTATATAAATCAATGGCGGTATTAAAAGTTCAGACTGACCACGCTTTTTACAAATCCGCAAATAACTCAATATTCTGTTCATGAAATTCTTTGCGTAACCAATATTCAGGGTTGGAATAGGCCGGAATTGATAAATTATTCTTAAAATCACCCAAAATATCACTAATAAAGTGGTAGCCAGGGTTGTAAAATTACCGTAATTTACCTGGTAAATTACCGATGACCATGCACTTGGTCAAAATTAATCTTAACTCCGATAACTTACCATTTACAACCCTAGTCCTATGACCCGTTAAGACCTATTTGCCAATTATAGGTTATGACCTATGACTTGTTATGACTTATAAAATTTACTATTAAATTATGGTCAGAACTATAATTTTGATTAGAACTGAATTTCTTTTTATAAGACTTATAAGATAAAACAGCTGCCAAAAAATATAATGTTTAATGTATATACATATATAGACGTGATAGACCCCTAATCTTCTTTTTCCTTAATAAAATTACATAATAGATGGCACTCCTCTCAAGCACCAACCTTACGTCAGGATTATGTATAGATGCAGACATATTGTCGTAATTAAGTCGTAACCTAATTACCTCAATATAAAAAATCTGGTTTAAAGTAAGCCATAATTAATTACGACAATATATCTGCATCTATAGGATTATAATTAGTTACGCAAGCGGATCGACCAAAACTTAGGGCTGGGATAGTCAAAGTAGGCATGGCTACATCTGTTTTGATCATTTCACACCTTTTCTCTATATTCTCTTCTATTTGCTTTTTCTGACCATCAGCAGTGTTGGCCATTTTGGAGTGTTTTAAATTCAAATTTGATTCATGTTCTCACAAGATCATCTATATAATATTTTTTGTAGTTTTATATTCTCAGAGAAAATTGCGAACATTTGCACACTGATTCTGACACACAATGCTGTGTATTTACTTAATCACTGTTGCTCACTTCCCCGAAGTCCACCTTTCTGAATTCTATTTCTTCGACTCCATAATTCCGATATTCCTTTTTCCCGACAAGACCCATTTCGGATCCACTCATTTCACCGACAATTACAGCTGTTCCCATAAATTCCGGGACAACTAATAAAAATTGACCGGCCGAATTCGACTAAAATCCTGACTAGCAAAATTACCGACAAACAAAATCCCGACAACAATTGACCAGAACTACTGTTAATGCGGGCTAGGCTTGTCAGGATTATGATCCTGTCGAGATTTGTTTGTCGGTATTTTCGCCTGTAACCGAACAGATTATTGTAATGCCATAAATCCAATTCTCATAACACCGAATTCAAAGTCTTGTCGATCAAATTTTTATTAGTTGTCCCAGAATAGCTATAATTCACTGACAATTGGGATCTTTGCTAGGAAAGTCACCCTTCGAGGCTTTCCGATCGGGATAATTCGGACAAAATTAAATCAGAATACCGGTTCTTATTTACATGTAAGTAATATTTTACCTTATTAATTATATAACTTGTTCGATAAACTATAGAATTAATAAAGTAAAAGATGATTTGCATATATAAAAAAGAACCGGCGTTTTGGTCTAGGTTTGTCCGAATTATCCTGGTCAGAAAATCTCGAAGGGTGATTTTCCTAGCAAAGATTCCAGTTTATTTTACCGGCGATCATTTCACTGACAAGGCAATTTCCAGTCATTGTTGTGATGGTCAGGTTAGTGCAATTTTTAAAAGAACTTGTCAGTGAAATGAGCTGTCGGTGGTGAAATAAACTTGTCAGTGAATTGATTTTCGGTGAAATGACACAGACCCATTTCTGTCCTGTTAGTAAAATGGATTGTCGGTATTACGACGTCGGTGAAATGGTATTTCAGAAAAATGGACTTCGGGAAGTTAACTCGGATCCATACCTAATTATATAAAAAGCTTATGTGTCGACAATTTACTACGATTTAGCCTGCCGCGAAATCTGCAGAACCAACTAATTGTAGTTTATAATAACTACTGAATTGAAATATTTATGTAACAAATATAATATACCTCATTAGTTTATAACCTTTGATCAAAGGGTAACGTTCCTTTACAAATCTCACTTCCGCATAAACATTTTTTCATCCCCTTTTTATCCTCAATACCATCTATCATCGCCCCGCTTTGTCCGCAGTGATCATCGGCTCCAGAATAATCAAATGTCAATTCTTCTCCTATTTCGATATCCCTTACAGCAAAAAATGCTGCAACAGGAATTAAAGAGTTGATACGAACCAGATAAATCTGAAGATTTGGTGCACATGAATGATTGATATATCTTCCAGCATTTCCAATATGAATTGGATCGATGTTCTATCAAATAATAAACTTAGCAGGAGAATGATTTACTCTGATAATATAAACACTTACTGTTCGAAGAATGCGATCCTGCCTGTTAAAATAAATAAAACGAATATTTAATACACTTTGTGACAAAAAACAAATTCAGCGTATTTATTTAACCAACTCACACATGTTCTTTCAGACACAACACATAATTTCGAGCTATCGCATTATTATTCATTTCTTCCCATCTTCGTTTAGCCTCTTCAGTCTTAATTATTTCACCAGCATACTCACAAACAAACATCCCTTTATATATTTTTTGTAATGTACGTAATCCCCAACCACGTCCATCCCTAGTTTTGAAAACCTGTAAAGGAATATTGATTCCATGTTGAACTATACGATTTGGACATACTGTTGTAGTGCATGTACATGATAAATTGCACTCGAAGATTGATGTGGATACGGGAAAATTTAAGTTGAGACCTCGTTGATTTGAATGTTGTAATGTATAAAAGTATCCTGTTGATAATATTTTAGGAATTAGTGTTAATATGTTAAAGAAAGGTCAGAATGATTGAAATAAAATTATTGAATATATTATAACCATGAGCTGATTTACATCCACAATTTTCCGATACACAATTATCTGCACAATCGCAACCATCATAGTATGACGATGACTCTTCGTTTGTCACAATTTCGTTTCCACGTGAAGGCTTTACGCAATGCACAACGTACTACGATGTTGATCCGGTGTTAGTTAAATATTAAGTGGTAGTTCATAGTTTAAAGGTATAAATTTCATAGTAAAATCGGCGGAGAATTATAAAAATCATATAGACATGAAGAAAAAAGCGACAATAACTCGAGATCTATTAAACTGCTTTTAATAATTCTACCACCATTAGGATCGTGACAATTCGCTCTATAATACTTGTTAGAAGCTCAAGGTTGGTTTGCTTAGCTGAAAACTTTTCATGTAAGCTCGCTGTATTTCAACTCTAGAAAACATTATATCAATTTCTACTAGTAAATTTAAGTACCTTTTGGTGTACGCATAATTCCTCTAGTTCTTTGTCATCATTATATACTAAGCTAACGGGGGATGGTTCGAGGCCATTTGATATGTCATCAACGATGAATTCGTTACTTAATGCTGATTTCACTGACATTTGTTTCAGCTGTCGGCTGATCAAGCAGCGAAATTCGAATCTGTGCGGATCCTTCTTATAGGCTAACTTTCTTCTAATTGGTCAATCAATTACAATTGCATTAAAGTACTTTTTTAGAATATAACATTTCACAAGTAAAAAATGAAAATTAAGACCGCCTCTATCTTCAGTGAAGCTCCAACAGTAACTATAGAACTATATATGATTACTAAAAGGTCGAATGCATTTGACTTAGTAAAAAAAAACCAACAAAAACTTTTTTAAAAAATATTTAAAAAATAATCCTAATCTTATTCTAAATCGATTTATGTAAAAAAATTAATTTTGAAAATTTGTCAATTTCGATTCTTTTTTCTGCACCTAGCCCATATAGTGTTTAAAACATAATGTACAAGGAATTAAAACTTTGAAGATTTTAAAACTCTATGGGTTTAATAATTTTTTCATAATAAACGTTGATTATGATACAGTAATTATAGATTTTAGGTCTAATTATCCGGAGGATATTATGGGGGCTGATCTATTCAATTGTCCGAGTAACTAATTATATGCTTTAATATACTTTTTAGGAATTCGACGTTTTACTAACAGAAAAAATTTTTTTTAATTGTACATAGCTTCGAAAAGACGCTAACAACTACTTTGCAAAGTAATCAAGAGATAATCAGCATTCTCGCAAAGTTTTATTAGAAGAGAAAAATATACCTCCAACTACTCCTCTTATTGGTCTATGTGTTATTACTATTTGTAGGAGACAGTCGACCCAGTGGAGAAGCGTAACTGAAAACTTTCTCTCTAAAGCCCAAGCTAATAATACAAGTTATGTTCGTCTAGGCAATACTGTTTGTTTGGCCTGTTATAACAGAATTGTAGTAAACTGTTCACCTGAATTAAAGCAACATTTACAGGTTATTATAGAAGAGGATAAGTTTGATGAAGTAGTTGAGATTGAAGACAAAATTATGAATCTTATTTTATCATTTTCTCAAGCAATATCAGTACTAACAAATTTTATATGCTTGTGAAAAAGAATAAAAATTTGTAGTATACATGTTTGATGAATTTAAGGGTAGGGTGTACATAGATTATTTTTTATATGATCTAGATGGTATAATAGATTTTTATATAGTAAATTAAAAATGTGTTACTAATAAAACTTTTTTATTTTTTAATTAATTTTTATCAAAATTTAATAATATATAGGTTTAAATAAGTTATTTATTATGTTAAAATTTTATAAGAAGTTTACTTTAAAAAAATTCTATTTGTATATACCTTGAATTCTTCTGGGGAGCCCTATATTTTTTCCGGGGTTACACGAAAAAGCTAACTTTAATTGGCTAATTTCCGAAAAACTATAAAAGAATTTTAATAGTAAATATTTATATCTAATCTTTAAAAATTCATATATCGATGAGTTTTATGTCAATTTTAATGATTTTACTACTGTTAAAATTACAAGAACCTATTCTAAAACTTTACTTAGAAGCTCAAAAAATATTTAATTAGTAAAAATTTTTATAATTGAAATTATAAAAAAAACATATTATTAAGCTTATATATAATTTTAAAATATTACATCCTACTCTTAAAGAAATTATAAAGAAGAATGTAAGATTGAAGTTTTTTTTTGATGAATCATAATTTGTTATCTAACTTATCATCAAAAAATAATGATTTATAAAAATGGGTCAAGAAGCATTTTCTGTTTGTTTGTTATTTTTTTTATGGAATCTATAACAAGTTTGTGAATTATATAAAAAAAGATATTGCAATATATATGAATTTTGTTAGTTTTTTTTTTAATATATCTATAGATATTTCTTTTAATTTAAATATCATCACAATATTTTATATTATTTAGTAGTATAAGGCAGCTATATATAAAGAACATAAGGAAGTTATTAATTCTACACTTGCTAAATGTGCAGAGAAGAGGTATAGTAATCTAGTAAAATAGTCAGATTATTAACTTTCCAAGTAGTAGATTGGGTGTTCAAATCTCATTGATAATGAAAATTTGAATAATTACCTATATAATATTTATATTATGTCAACTGTTACTAATAATTAAGTTAGGATATTTGTAATAGCAATCACACTAACATGCATGACTAACAGGTTATAAGACATCTGTATAACTTGTTATACAGAGGAATGCAAACTAACAAATTAGACAGTGCAAATATTAGATAAGTCTTGTAATTGTATAAATTCATTGAAATTAGATAACAAAAAATTCATTTGAAAAGATTCAAATAAAGAAATAGTCAGATTTTTGATGATCTTATTATAAAGATTAGTTTGAGAAAATAGATAACAAGATTATAGTACTTGGTTATAGTAGCTGAACAGACAAGAATCTTCAGTTTGAAAGTCTTAAAAATATCATCAATTAGGTTGTTAAAATGAATTAGAAAAAAAAATATTAGCTTGACTTGATATATCGATAGATTGATTATAGTTTTATATAAACTATCTGAATTGGAAGTTTAATAAAAAAACAGATAAAATGACAGAGATATATTAAAATATTAGAGTTATGCAATAAAGTAAATAATAGGGTTTGTATGAACTTTACAATAACATAGTAATTAAATAATATAATTCTAATTACAAGTATTGGTTCTATTATAATTATATTTAGTTCAGCTATAAAAATAGGTACTAAAGACTTTGAGGGTTTACCTTAAGAATAAATTATTCCTAAGGTTAAGACAATGATCTAGATATGAATTAACACTAGTTACAGATTTAGAGGGTTTAAAGTAGAACACCCAAGCAGAGATGTTAGGTACAGCAATTAGTAGAAAACTTTTGAGTAGATTTTTTAAATAAGTAATAGAGAAAAGTTATATATATAGTCGATTGTACTTTTTTTTGTAATAGTTTATAAAATTACATTATTAAAAAAGTTGTAAATAAAAGTTAAAAGACCAAAGAGGTTATCTTAAAATATATATATATATATACAAAAAATATTATAATATTAAACATTAATGAATACTATAGTATTTATATAAAGTATATATTAGATATTATTTTTATATTAATTACTATATATCTAGTGATAATTTTAGTAAATTTTATTATTATTTAATATATGATTCCAAAGTTGAATATTCATAATTTTCTTCTAGTTGATGTTAAATTAATTAAAACAAATATTAAAAAAAGATTTATAAAATTTTATAATTTTTTGCATAATTGATATTAGAGATTTTATATAATCAACAATAATGCTAAATTAAAAAAATTAATTATGCATAGTTATGATATTAAGCTAAAAGAAAAATAAAGTTCTTATTTAATAAAAAATAGCATTCTTATTAATTTGCAAAAGAATAATCTTTATATTATAGATACAAATATTAAAACTATTAATGTAATTATAAAAGTTCTGTTGATATAGCAATATATTCAAAAAAAGCATATAATTTCTGTTATCATAGATTGGTCTGAATAAATTTATTTTCAAATAGCAATTTTATATTTTATATATTATTAAAATTTATCTAATATTACTGATTAAATATTGTTTTTTCTTCCTATTATAGGTCTTCTTCATATTTTACTCAATAGTTAAGAATTAGTATTTCTTTAATATTGACTGTTTTTTTTAGCCATGTACAAAATACATTTTTGAAGAAAAAAAACTTCTTATACAAACTTCCAAATCATAATATATAAATCTAATTTTAGAAATATCTCAAGTATTTGGCAAATAATTATAACAAATATTAAAATTAAATTCCGTTTTTTGTACAAAGATGCTAAGTAACATGCACTTAAAAATCTACTCAATAATATGATTTCTTTAGTTCTTGATATATATACTGTATTTTTTTGATTTAGTAATTTTGATATTTATTTAAAATCTTGCTTTTATGCTTGACTAATTTTTTTAAAATTTAAGCTTAAAAATTATATAAAAACACTATTAATGTTTTTTTAAATATTTTCTACTAAGAGTTAAATAATCATCTAATTTTAAATATTATTAAAGCAGAACTTCTAAAATTTTCAAATTCTACTATAGAAATATTTTATAGTTTTCTATTCAAAAGCATGCAAAAGCATACAGAAACATATAAAAGAACAAGATTGAATTAAATATAGATGTTGTATT